ATTTAGATGATCCTGTAGGTTCCACAAACACACTGAACTGCTGGTTTAACTTCTCTTCTGTTCTCAAAGTTTATGATAAAGAGACTAATCCCGGTATTGGGACTGACTGATACAAATTCGGATTTGCTCAGGGTTGCTGATAAGAAAACCTCGAGGTCCCTCAGGAAATAATTGAACAGCCCTTTCCTGTAAGCACCATGACTCACAACTAAGACACCGGCTACTAAGTCTGGAGCACCGCCATCTGAATTAAATTTAAAGGCACAGTTTTTTTTCCAAAGGGAATATCTCTGTCAAAGAAGTTTCCAGACAGCTGCTTGGAGCTCCTGAGGAACACGGTTCATTTTGACCTGCATCCTCTAGGATGAGTTGACAAAGAAATTCAGAAAAGTCTATTGCACGCATCTTCACCTGGTCCAAGGTCTCCGGGCGGTGTGCACCCGGGGCATTCTTCCCCAGCTGCTTTGGCCGTTGCCTTGAGCTCCCTCAGGCCCTTGCCTTCTGCAACCCTGTATTTTCTTTCTCGAAGTCTTGAATCCTACTTCACCGTCATGTTTTGGCAACATTTCTCTTCTCCAGATTCCCACAAATGGTCTGCTTTGTCCGAATGAGATCACTAGAGAACACATGAGTAAACTTGGCATTATTAAGAAATACACCTGCAGCAGCTATTTGCTTAAATCTAGTTTCTGAAAGAGGCTCATGTAACCTTGCCCTCGAATTATTTTCTCCGTGTTTAGTCGCGTTTGTCCATGCTGGACAAAAGTCCGAGTGCAGCGCGTGATCGCTGGCGTCAGGGACACCACCCCTCTTGTTCTTAACATAAAGGTAACATTTGAGCAAAAGGCCTCTGTGTTGAACTGGACTGCCCCATCTTATTTTACTCCTGACTATAAATCCAAATGCTGCTCTTACCCCAATTCCTTTTCTGGCTCACAGCTCACAGAGAGAGGAGTGCCCCACACTCCCTTAAGCTACGTCTCCAGGACTCGGGTCCCTGTTCGGGCGCCACTTCNGCCAAGCAGAGGCTGCATGGTCCTCCTCAAACAGGAGAGGGCCACTCGCCTTCACCTGCTGGAGGGAGGAGTTGGGAAGGGCGTCAGGAACCAGCCTGAGAGACGAACAAACCTGAGCTCGAGCGGTGGGAATGAAACAGACAGACAAAGTTGTGGGATCAGGAGGCCTGCCCTCCAATGAGCACCCCAATGGCTTCAACGCCTTCATGACACAGTGAGTAGCAAACAACCGGTAATGCGGTGAGGGTGATCCAAAGTAGTTCCCTCAAGGCCGCCTGAACACACCTTCAGAGTAAACACCCTGCCTCCTGCACACGTGGGCCCAGACCTTGGTCATTTCTTTATTTTGGCTCCTCATGGGAACTTGTGGGGAGGGTCGAGTCCTTGACTCCAGACCCTCAGGTGACATGGACCATGTCCAGACCTGTCATCGGCTCCCAACAGAAGGGTTAGTTCTTCCTCTGCCAGCCTGGCTGTCAGAGGGGTTCTCTTGCGGTCACAGAGATGGAGCAAAGGTACCTANCAACGGAAGGGTTAGTTCTTCCTCTGCCAGCCTGGCTGTCAGAGGGGTTCTCTTGCGGTCTCAGAGATGGAGCAAAGGTACCTATGGCTCCCTTTCCTTCAACCCCAACTGTTACTTGGAGTTTTCCTTTACTGATGATCCCTCTCGTTGCTGAAACTTCAACATTCCTACCAATGGACAACCATAGTGTGCGGTTCAAGGCCAGGTCATGGAAACACATTTCTTAATTATACCAGTAGTAGCGGGAAGGTCAAATCCGTCAGACCTCTGGGAATGAAGGTGCATGCCAGAAAGGCCTGGAAAAGGCAGAAGGAAACTGTGAAAGACCTAAAGGAAAAGCTTAAAAACAAATTTCTTGATATTAAACCACAGCCTTTCAAGCCACAGGAATGACTGAAAAGCCCAGGACCAAAATGGAACAGACCTTGTGGGCCTAGGAAGCTCTGCATTTATGTAAATATCAGAAGTTGGTCCCAATGAGCAGACCACCAGTGGGGACAGGGCACAGAGGACACAGCAGGACCTGGGGATAAGTCGGGAGCAGAGGTATTCTGCTTCCTACTGGGCTGTACCTTCAAAGCTGGGCACAAATATCACCCCCCGTTAATTCTGCATTTCCCTCCTGTTTCAGTCTGGATTCTCCAGAGAAGCAGACTACAGTGATATGCATAGATAGACAGACAAACAGACAGAAAGATAGACAGAGAGACAGATCAATAATAGAGTATTAGGGCGTGTGATTATGGCGGCTGCCACGTCCAACACCTGTAGGGTAGGCCGGCAGTCTGGAGCAGGGTGAGCCCGTGGGGCACATGAAGACTGAAGTCAGTCGCCTGGAGAAGTCCCTCTTCCTGGGAGGGGGCGGTGGTCAGCTTACTGCTCTGCTCAGGCCTTCAACTGATTTCTCAAGGCCCACCAACATGTGGAGGGCAACCCCTGAACTCAAAGTCCACCAGCTTCTTACACGTCTGCAGGCTAAATTAGCATCTCCTCTCCCCTCCCTGTGTCCTAGCACCCTAGTCCACAGGCAGAACATCACAGCTGCAGGAGGGGCATCTATATTTTGCGCTGCATACTTCACGTGGTCATTGGAAACACAATGTGTCCCTTTTGTGAAACAGACCGCAATGCATGCTGACGCTCAGTCATTCTGTGCTAAACTGAATTACCTTGGGGAACAGGAGCTGAGGGCGGTTCTCCTCATGTGTGGGTCTCACTATGCATATCACCATCTGTGGGGAACCAGCCCCAAACTTCAGAAGAACCCTCCCTATTCTCCTGCTCCCCAGGGGAATTCAAGTGATCACAGAGGATGGAGCAGCAGAAGGAATTACATCCTGCAGGATAAAAGTGATAAAGGGACACTTTGTACCCCCAGTGACCCCATGAAGTGTGGAGCACACAATACACAAACACCCTCACCAAGTGCAACAGTCTCACTGTGGACTCGGGTGTTAGGAAGCACAGGAGGAGATAATTTAGCCTGAGGTGGTTCAGGAAGACATAATGGGAGGTGATACTTCTGTTCAGCTTTAAAGCAGAACCAACTCTTGGTGATGGGACAGGACGTGCCAGCCAGAGGAAGGAGCCAGAACAGAAGCTTGGAGGCATGATGCTGGGACCAGCGGGTAGGTCAAGGCGGCCATACCACAGGGGAGAGGAGAACAGGAGATGACAGGTGGGGGCATGGGACAGGGTGGAGGTGTGGGAAACCCCAACAGAAATCATGAGTTCCAGAAGCAAAATATACCAGTAATACACACACACACACGCACACCGCTTAGAGGGTTGATCCATCTCAGAAGAGCTGCAAAGCCCTTCTCTCTGACTGGGTTGCATGGAGGCCCCTGCATCACAGCGAGGGGTCAGGCCTGTAAAAGTGCATTTGCACACCTCCCATTGCAGGCCTGGCTGACCATGCTGCTGAGGTGGATGAGGGAGAAGCTCGTCCCTCTGGAGCACAGAAGGGTCAGTAGGAAACAAAGGGACAAGGCCTGTCTTTATACAAGAGCAGGGTCTGAGGTGGAAACAGGGGAGAACCAAGTTTTCCACATCTGAATTGCATTTATTGAGGTATTTCCCTTCATACTTCAAATCCTGAAAATTGAGTGTTTCCTAAATGCTCACTTTTAAAAACTTTTCCAAAGTTTTTCAAACAAGAAAAATCTTACAAAATCATTGCAGGTGCAGCTAGAGAAAGTCTATTCCTCAGCTATGGGCAGTGAGCTGCTAATATCCCATCACTGCTACACTCTACAGAGCGCATTTCCTAGAAACCTGGGCACTTATACCACCCCCAATACAATCATCAAATAGATTTCACGTCAGTACGCTAGGGCCATCACATCCCTAGTCCCACCCAGGTTCACCAGGAGGGTCCTCTATTCGCCATGACGTCCAGCAAAAGGCTCTGATGGATTGAGACATTTCCCATCTCCTTCTCATGCCAAAGCTGTGGTTTAGGAGTGTTTTATTTGCCCCTTCTGTGCTTTGTATACTTTTTAAAATATCTGGAGAGATTTGTATTCAGATGGCCACTGTTCTTATGGGACAACCAGAAATCAACATTAATACATCTCCCAGATCTAAAAGTTTTCATCCAGCAATTTGGTTGTTTCCTGTTTGACAGTGGTTTAGATTATTTAGTCATCCAGGCAGAAAGAAATAGAAATGTTTTACCAACATTTTCCATAGATTTTCCTTTTGCTGGGTATTTAATGTGTTGCTAATTTTTTGCTATGACAAAAAAGTGCTGCAACGGCAGCAGCAAATATCTACATACATTTTGGCCCATGTTTGTAAGACTGGAACTGACTCTCAGAGTCCCAGGGCGATGCGCATACTGTGCACTGCCCTAGACACTGTCAGATGGTATTTCAGAGCTGATTCATCCCATCCATACCCATACGACCATGCAAGGTAACTCCTGCTGTTCTATTTCCCATCCAGTGGTTACGGTTGGCAAATTTAAAATTATTTGACGATTTTGTGGGTGTGTAAGGGTATCTATTGGACTTTTCATTTGTGTTACCTTGATTCTTTGTGAGATTTTCAATCGTTTCAAAGTGTATTTTCCATCCATGAACTCCTCAAACCTTGCTCCTACATCTTTGGAGAATTTACAGGATCCAATTTATTTCTCGGAGCTCCTTACATATCCTGGACACTGATCCTTTGTCATAAGGGGATTAAACAACTTTGAGAAGTAGAGATGTTTCAGCCATAAGGACTTACTTCTCACTGAAGGAGGAGAGCCTAGGGATGGTGATCACAGGGAAGTCACTGCCTGGGTGGAGTGTGCTGGGATAAATCAGAAAAATCCTCATTTCTTAAGGTCCATATGAGAATTTTATTCCACTTCTCATGATGAGGCTCAGATGGTAAATTCTGCTTCCATACCAATCTAGCAGAATCCCTGGTTTTATTTACTCTATGGCGTAGACAAACAAACAATAACCACCTAAAATTCTGTGTGTATCAAACACAATTCCTAAGTAAGTATATTTTATAGTAATATTTTATAGAGAGATATACAGTTAAATAGCATTACATAGGGGAAAGTTCCTAAAAGTAACTATCATAAATATCATTTTTCCTTGTAAAACCTGGTGAGGTTCGACCAGGACATACAAAGAATCCCTGAGGTTCTGAGTTTTCACGGGTGTTTCACTATCAGCACCATTTGCAAGAACAAGGTCCCGATGCAGATCCACCTCATTTCCACAACCAAAGGGAACACGGAAAATCATCTCTTTGGTGAGACTTCTTGTGCAAGCAGTGAGAAGACTAAGTGCAAGAGCCCAACAATTCCACCAAGAAAAAATGGAACCAAATGTGGGAAAAAGTGCAGAGTTGACATATTCCCCATTGAATACAGGACAGGAATATTGCATCTGCTGCATCCTCACAATCCTCTCGAGGTCTCTGCATTTGCTGCGAGGACTGCAGCTCCTGCAGGTCAACACGTAAACAGCTGGAGCTGGAAAGGCAGCCAACCAGAAGGGACAGATGTTGAACTAGATCACACTCTCAGGAGCTTCTGAGCAGCAGCATCTTCTGTCATCAGAAAAGAAACACGTGTTTGTCCCACCAGCTCTGGAAATCCTGGGTCAGTTCCCCTGGGCTACCGACCCCATTCACTTCCATCTCACAGCCCCACCCTCACTGAGATGCATGTATTTCCCCTCAGTTCTCACCACCAGCCTGGGTCCTGCCCTCCTTTACCACATGACAGTCAGACCCAAGTCCTGTTAATGACAGGTGGGGCTCAGGACTTAAGGTGCAAATGAATTGCTCTGTTCCCTCTACTAAAGTCCTGATTCTAAAGCACCCATGGGCGCCCTGTCCAAACAGAGGGGCCTGCATCCTGGTTCCTCTAGCACTGGGGAGGGTTGCAGACAAACATCCGTCATTCCCCTCCTCTCTCCTCGCCCTAGTACCAGCACAGGACTCTGGGAGTGACTGCCCTGCCCTGCCCATCCATCCTTGCTTGTCAGTGTCAGCATCCAACTCCACTAACAACTCAGCCACCCTTAGCTCCCGAGTCACCTCTGCTCAAGGCTGGGGCCCCTCTCTGGCTCAGAGTCTGGAGTGTGGGGGAGGATGGCTGCCAGGGGACTGCACCAGGGCTCAGCCAGGAATCCCAGGGGTTCACTGAGATCTCGCCTCCTTCTAACCTTGTCCTGCACAGTCCCTAAGGTTAGCCTGCTGCCTTACCTGACGTGCTTGAAGCAACGTTTTCTGGGAACTCAGCCATGAGCTCCAGCCTTTCGAGTTGGGTCTGCAAGGCCTTCCACCCCTCTTCCTGGGATTACACCCACGCCCCTCTCCTCTTAGCTTCCTGCACATTCCCTTCCCCTGGACACATCACATGGAGCCACCATGCTGCTCTCACCTGAATGTGAGTATTGCCCACGTCCTGTGTGCCTGCTGTCCCCACACCACCCACACTGGGCCCAAATACACTCTCCCAAACAGAATGTGAGCCAGGACTGCAGTCACTAAACCCCTTTAGCATCAATAGGCCTTGAGCCTTGGCGTGGGCCCCTCTTTTTCCCACTGGCATTAACAGTAAGGAGACAGCAGATCTCAGGGCTGAACTTGTCCAAGCTATTGCTACCAAGCAATATGTGTTACTCTCCTGGTCTCATTTCCAGGAGGAGAAATTTCAGTGAGAGGGCAGGGACAGGCTGGGAATTCACCTTTCCCTGTCCTCACTCAGGCCATCGCCCCTCACTTCCCACTTCATTCTGCTCTTAGTACCTGTTACCAGCCAACTATGACCAAGCAGGTGAGGATCACAGAGACAATCAAGGTGATGTGAGTGTTGGTTGTGGCTTTGGACGGGACTGTGGCTGTGGCATTGGCTGTAGTTGGTGCAGCTGAAATGGAAACAAAAGAATGACACTCTGTGCAGAACCCAAATCTCAGGAGATGCCTCCTCTCGCCTGCTGCCCCCGGTAATCCCACAATGCACACAGTTCCTACCCCTCTAAGTGTGGCAGGCACTGTGACAGACCCTGGGGCGGAACAAAGAGAGGAGATGGGCCCTGTCCCCTTGGGGTTCGCACATTAATGGGGGAAGCCAGGGCTACAATATACCCAGTCACTCCTGCTGCGACAGAAGAGGAGACATGAGTAAGGAGGCTGCGCAGTCCTCTCAGGAGCTGGCTTGAGGTGGACTTGAAGCATTTCCAGAAAAAGACCAGGTGAGACGCAAAGGAAAGTGATGCTGAGAAGACAGAACAGCACAAGGAACAGGTCTGAAAACAGAGAGATGCCCTCATGTTTGGGCAGGAGGAAATCCACAGGGCGTGGCGCAAGTTATTTGCAGTGAGGGAGAGACGTGAGGAGGGAAAGGGGGCTTGTGGAACACACCCACGGCCGTTATTCCCCAAGAACTGACCACGGAGGAGTCACACTTTCAAACACACACACATTCACACACACACACTCTCACGCAGACACTGACACACATGCTCACACCCAGACACACTCACACACACACATGCTCACACTCAGACACACTCTCACATACACTCACACACATGCTGACACAAACACATGCTCACACTCAGAAACACACAGACATGCTCACAAACACACATGCTCACACTCAGACACACTCTCACATACACTCACACACATGCTGACACACACATGCTCACACTCACTCAGACACTCATGCACACACACACAATCACACACACTCATACACTCATGCACACACACACACACTCACATACACTCANCACACACACTCATACATGCTCACAGACACAAACTCACATACACTCATGCACACACCCACTGCGGCAGTTCAGTCTGTCCTCGAGAGAATGGCCCCTCCGTCCCTGTGTCCCGTTACCTGCTGTCTCCAGCTCTTTCTTCCAGGGCACCAGGAACTGCAGCCAGCCCTGGCAGTCTCTCGTTGAGTAGAAATTGAAGGACTTGGTCAAATCATCATCCCTCTCCCACTCGTCTTTCATCTGTTCACCTCGGGAATTATTGGCTCTATACTCTCCTCTCTCCGCGTCAAAGACAAGGAGCCTCTGTCCGTCCGAGAAAAACTCCCAGGACCCCCTGGTGCGTCCACCGGCTGTGCACTGACAAATCATCCTGACCTTCAGGGCGAAGGGAGCTGCCCCGCAAGAGAGACGTCAACCTCTGCTCTTGACAAGTCCTTTGTCCCCACCTGGGGTCCACCCCCCTGAACCCTTCCACTCCTGCCCTGTTCTCCCCGACCTTTCTGCTGGGCCACACGAGAAGGCCCAACATCCAATTTTATTTTTCACGTGACTACAATCAATATAGCTAACCCCACAATCTGCTCACTTCTGCAGCTGGATTTTCTAACTTACCTCCGTCTGCATATTTCTCCGGTTCTGTGTCAGACAGGTGCTGTCTGATCAAGTCCCCCATGTCCCTCAGCGTCTTAGTCTGATCTTTCCAGGCATCTGTGGCCATTACGTCCGCGCTCAGGAAATCCATACATATGACCTTATCGATTCCACAGTCATAGGAGAGATAATTCTTTCCATCCAGCTGGCCTTGAACCATACACCGTGGCTGTTTATTGAAAGCAATGCTGAAATCATAGTGAAGACGGTGATCATCTGGAAAGAAAAAATGCAGGTGACAGCTGAGGTTGGCAGAAGAGGACCCAAGGCACTACCTCCCCCATCTCTGTGACAGCAACACCTCAGCCCCTGCCCCCGATGGCTGGGCTGGCAGAGCAAGGACTGACCCTGCCAGGCTTCTCCCTTCACCAGGTGAAGGCTAGTGCCCCTCCATTGCTTGAGGAGGACCAGCAAGCCTCTGCCTGGCAAGAAACCACACATCTCCAGATATGTCCCCTCTGTTCATTATGCCAATCAATACCCATCATCAGCCCATAACCAATGCAGGGACATGCCAAGTGGCTACGGAGGAAAGGTCTCGATGCCAAAGGACTGTCAGAAACGAGGCCAGTGCCTACAAGAACATGGAGAGCATGTAGGGGCCACTCCTGAGGAAGCTGTGACAGTGGGGTGGGGGATGTAGACAGATCTCCAGGTTAAAGGAACAGTTTGCAACTGTGGGTCATGAAGTAGCACAGCCCTGGGAGATGGTGCTAACCTGCTGCTAGGATGGACCTTGCAAGCGTGGAGGAAGGCATGGCTATAGTGCATGGCACAGAAAAGCCGGAACTTCTGAGGCAGGTGGAAGAGGAAGGGATCAGAGGGCTCAGAGAAGTGGATATGCCAGGGGGGATATAACATGCAAAGGCAGAAATGTCCAGTCAACCATGCTCCATGGGGAAGCCTGAAGCTAGACTCGGGTTGATCAAGCCGATGGGGAAAGCATGGAGGAGAAGAGCACCACAACTCTCCAAAAGCTCGCTGATGACTTTCCTCAAGGTCAGGAATGGTGGTAGGAGTTGGTGTTCCCCAAAAAGGCTTCCAGTAGTAATGGGGATGGAACACGTTGAAATGATAAGTCACAGGTACAGGTGCTTGTGTCAGGAGCAAAGGAGTTATGAGCATCACAATGACTAGGAAGGTGGCAAATGCAGCCAGGGCCTCAACCACAGAGAGCTCTGACTATGGCTCACAGAACAGGGGGATCCTAGAGGCAAAATGGATAGACATTCAACCTGGGTACTTACTGCTGGATTTAAATAATTAAAACAAACAGAGACAAACACAAGAATGGGTGATCAGGAGGCTGAAAGCAGCCTCCCAGCATAAGACTGAATCCTTTGCCCAGTTCCCAGAACTGAGCCACTTCTCAGGCCCAGAACTCACTACCAGAAGGAGGGGCAAGGCTGCAATGAGGAGGGGCCTCTCAACACTGCACCAAGTGCAGAAGTCCCGCAGGCCTTCCCCAAAGGCCCATGTGGCCATTGACTCAGCTTAGTGTGCACTGGGAAGCAGAAACGACTTACGCTCTCATATTTGATCCCGTGTATGAGTTGACATCATCCACAGGGATCTAAAGTGATGCATGGGGCCAGGGAATGAACACACACCTGTCCCAGGTCCTGCTCCCAGGCGTGTTATTGGTCCATATCCACACTGTGGTCCTTATCATATTTCCCAGATGTGTAATAGGAATAGAAAATCTTTGTAGTTATTGAATTACTTGTGGGCTCAGGGCTACTGCCAAGCAGGGAAATTTAAGTACAATATTGGCAAACTGTATTCCCTTTGCTCTAAATAGAATGCTAAACGAGTATTTTATCCTGGATAATATGAATGAGAGGAGGACCAACCTTAAACCCTTAAGGATGCAGGACATGATCCCTATCCTACAGCCATTTAGTAACAATCTGGTCTGGAGACTTTCTCTCATTATCTAGCTGCCAAAGAGTTTAGCCTGTGCAGACCACAGGCCTCTTTGCCACTACTCACCTCTGCTGTTGTAGCATGAAAGAAGCCACAGACAATACACGAATGATTGAGTGTGGCTGGACCTGCCCCTCGGGCCCTAAGATCCACAGAATCTGGGATACTGGAGGAATCAGTGCGAGGGAAAGTTGCTATCTGGACTTGAAGGCATCCTAATGGGAGAATCATATTGCAGATCCATAGGGGCTCACGAAAGGCCATAGCCCTTGCAACAGGGAATTCCACAGCATTTAAAGAGGTCTGGTAGATTTGAGGCCCCTGGCTATGGGATATCAGTCGCCCATCATGAGCGTCATTAGCTAAGGTAGGCCGAGTGCTCATGAGACACTGTGACTTTTCTGGCACTGAAATGAGCAGGGTCACAGGCAACAAATGAGATACAGAAGCAGAGGCCCCAATCTTGACACCAAAATGTACCAGCACCACCCTATGCTCACACCTATGGCTTCATGGAGTGTCTCTAATGGCCCCCTTCCACCAATGAATCCAGTCTACAGAGAGGAGGGGAGCACTGACCCCTGTCTGTGGGACCCACATCCTCTCACATTCACTCCACCCAGAAGCCACAGGCTCTTCAACACTCAGCAGAGGCACCCTGGGAGATGATTCCCTAGGGGCGTGGTCACCCACATAGGGGACTCCCTATATACCCTAAATCTGGGGTCAGGGAACTAGCAGAGTGGCCACATCTGGCCCCCAATTGTTTGTATCTTCCTTTGGCTGCTTTGGCACCACAAACGTGGAGGTGCCTAGTGCATACAGGGATACCAAGAGGTCTGCAAAGATAAAAATATTTACTACTTGCCCTTTATAGAAAAAGTCTGCGCACTTCTGCCTTAATCTACGGCCTTCACATGATGCTGCCTCCTCCGTGGGTGGAAAATGTGGGTTTGGGATGAAAGGGCAGAGAGAGGGTGCCCTTCCTCACCGTCATTCCCAGGTCATGCCTGTCCCTCCTGCCCTAGGTTCCCTGGGCCAGGTGCACAGGCTTTTGCAGTGTGTGCCCTCAGGCCAGGGCACAGATATGCCACCTGGGAGAGGAAATGATTAGGGCCACTTCACCGATGAGGAGGTACTGGAGGTACTGGTGTTCCTGGGACCCCAAGGAACTGGGTAGCAAAACGGGGTGAGCCGGCGAGGGGAGCAGCGGCTGCCGTGGAAGAGCAGCACTGCACGGGACTCGGCCTGGCTGGTGGCAGAGCGGCTCGGAAGGCCAGGGCTGGAGCGCAGCGGCTCGTTAGGGGAGGCGGCCGGTGCAGTCAGCTCAGCCGGGCTGCAGGCGCCGGGACCGCCGGCAGCGCGGGTTGGAAAGCTCAAGGGGGCGGGCGGTGCCGACGATGGGGGCTTGCTGGGGAACGTCCTGTGAGAAGGGGAGGGGCGCACGGGTGTCTGCCTGTGGGTGGCGACCCTGAGGAGACGCCCGGGCCCTGGACAGGGGCTCCCAGTTCCGCAGAAGCAGGACTTGCACCCGGGGCAGGAGGGCGGCCTGGGGAAGTCACGCGCCCGTGGCAGCAGGTTCTCGCCGCGCCCTCCCCCTCCCTGCTCGCTTCCCTCCGGCGAGCTGGCCCTGTCACTTCTAGCACCTCTCGTGGTCCTTCTTGCCAGGACGCCGAAACCTGCCCCGGACGCCAAAACGGAAAAGAGCCGGCGGCTGGGATGCGCGGGGATCAGCGGGGATGGCCCGAGTTGGGGGGAGGGGGCGGCGCGCGCAGGGCGGCGGGGCGGCGGGGGCCGCGGTGCTACCGGCGAAAAGTGCTTGAACCGCCTTGGGGGCTCCGTCCCGAGCGGGAGCTGAAAGGGCCCAGGCCCGTCCCCCTGCGCTTCCTCCCCTCCCCGCCCCCAGGCTACTGAAGGCTGCACCCTGAACTCACCTCCGTGCGCCCAGAGACAGTCAGCTGCCCACGGACAGTCGAGCAGCACAGCCAGAGCCGCGAGGACGACAATGAACTCGGAGCCGGGGGTCCTGGGCATGGCGAGCGGCAGTGGGCGCGCGGCCGGGGGCGGTGACGCGCGGAAGGCGTAGGGAAAGCCCCGCAAGCCTCCGCACAGCGCGATCTGCCGGGATGGTGGCCTTCGAGACGCAGAGATCGCGGCCGGGACGAAAGTATTGCCAGAGGATGCGCCGGGAAAGCCGGGCGTCCTACACTCGCCGCGCCCCGCCCTCTCCACGCCGGGTCCCGCCCCTTGTTTCAGCGGACGGAGCTCTGCGGGGAGTCGCAGAACCACATCCAGCCTTCAGAGGTGCAGCGAGGGGCCGCGATTGGCTCGGCTCTGGACGGTAGGACCTATCCCCGCCGCAGGGCGGAGACTGGGCGGAGTCTGCTGCGGCCACGAGCCCTAACTTCAAAATCACCGCCAGCCCGAGCTCCAGGTCCCTGCGCCTGCGCGCGTCCGGGGCTGCAGGAACCAGGGCCCCCCAGCGGTGGGCGTCCCAGCGGTGAGCAGGACCCGGGGTGTTCTCCAGGGATCGCCAGCCCCGGCGACCAGCAAACACGCCCCTACCCTGCTCACAACTTGACCCCAAACCACAAAGCCTCCGTCGTGAAGCCTTCACCCTGGACCCTCCCAGCGGCTCAGCCAGAGGGCTCCAGGACCTGCAGCCCCAGGCGCTCATTTCAGACGCTTTCCCTCACCAACTACTGCTCCCCTTCCAGCTCGCCCCGTTTTATGACCCAGTTCTTTGGGGTCCCAAGAACACAGGTGCCTCCAATACCTTCTCGTCTGTGAAGTGACCCTAACCGCTTCTTCCCCCAAGGGGCACCTTATCCCCTGGCCTGAGGACACACACAGCAAAAACCTCTGCGCCTGACCCGGGGAACCTAGAGCAGGAGGAACAGGAAAGCACATTTTTTCAAAGTATGATCCTGGGAATGATGCTGAGGAAGGGCACTCTCTCTGTATCCTTTTATCCCAAACCCCCTTNCACCTTATCCCCTGGCCTGAGGACACACACAGCAAAAACCTCTGCGCCTGACCCGGGGAACCTAGAGCAGGAGGAACAGGAAAGCACATTTTTTCAAAGTATGATCCTGGGAATGATGCTGAGGAAGGGCACTCTCTCTGGATCCTTTCATCCCAAACCCCCTTTTCCACTCACCGAGGACGACAACATATAGTCATTGATTTAGGCGAGAGTCTGCCAACTTTCTATCTAAAGGACAGATGGCGAATGTTCTGGTCTTTGCAAGCCACTTAACTCTCTGTCTCTATATACACTACACATCTCCACCTTTATGGTGCAATAGCACCCCAAGACGACATGCAAAGAAATGGGGGACCACATATGGCCCCTATACTACTTTGCTGACCCAACATTTAGAGTATATAGGGTGTCCCAGGTTT